TCTTTTAGACCTATTTGAGTCTCTACATAATTACCTGAAGTAAAATTCAGTGTTGCATGAGCAAAAATGCTGTTCATTTTAAGGAAAAATGTCCATGTTGCTGAAAGGCATATTTCAACTGTCCTGAACTGTGAAGTTTTTCAGAATTAAGTTTTTGAAATCTACTCAATTGGAAAAAAAGATCCAGCTGTGCAAGGTCCTTGTACTTGAGGAAATGAGCTTGGCACTATAACTTATTTTGCAAACACAAAACAATCTACTTTGTTGAAATTGCTTTGAGACAAAAAAATAACTAAAGAAAATTACCTGTCTGTCTATCTTATGGCTGATATACAGTAGCACCAGTACACCAGCCACTGCACTAGCTCACACAGCATGGTTTTCTTCCTCTGAAACTTTCCTAAAAAGAAATTACTTGCAAAAGCTTACCACGTTATAATGAATATTGCTTGCAGCAACTTGCCCTTTTATGAACTTGAATTTGAAATAAAGGGTGAAATATGTTAATTCCATATGTTTCAAAAATTAAACTGGTGTTTATTAACTAATGGAAGATTTTTTGGTTGTCATTAGGGATTATTAACTGTTCTGTTAATAGTGCAAAATCTTCATAGTTGTCTTCATCCTTCCTAATTTCACAGACTATGGTAGAATTCATTTATCTGAAAACTTAAAAAGAATCTTCCATTCTTCCCCTAGAAAGTTGTATACAGATAAGAGTATGGAATATCATTTTTCCTTTGTGCTTATGAAAGTATAACTTTATATTTAGGTTGTTACTTTCACAATGTCATCAATGAGGAGACCACATAAAGGTAATCTTGAATCTGAAAAAGATACTGTAGGAATGCAACAATATAAGTACGATCTGTAATGGGTACTTCTCTCCAGAAACTTTCACATGGTTCCTTTACAGGCTTGTTTGCATACATTACTTGAAGCATAGCATCTGCTAGTCTATTTCTTTACATTTTGTGTCTGACTGACTTTCTTCAGAGTTCTTGTACAGCAGGTTTTCTGTAGCAAAATGACAGACAGGGACAATGATGATTACTGAATAATGTGGCTAAAAGGAAAAATTACTGTTAAGAATTAACTTTTTTTCTTTTGAAACACATCTGATACTGGAACAAGTCTATAAAATAAGTCACAAGTTTACAGAATTAGTCACAGGGGGTTTGGAGCATGAAAGTCAAATCATTAGACGACATTATTGAAAGTTTTTCTAGAAAAAATCAACAGTCAGTGGGAAAAGTTATCTAAAATTTTGCTTTAGGATAGCGCCAAGCCACTACTAACCTGGGCAAAACCAGCACGTATGCTCAGTAGCCGAGAGAAAGCCTGGGAATACTTCAGATCATGCATTCAGGTAAGACAAATAATTTTACATATCATAGTCCTAATTATAAAAAAAAAAAAAAACAAATGCAAGGAAGTATAATATGAACCATTTGCCCTCAAAAATAGTGTATTGAAATCAGGGCAAAACAGTGCTTTCTGCTTTTATGTTTCTGTGCAAGAAACTGCAGCGTGCTTTGCGGTATATACTTCGTTTGCTGGCTCTTTGACACACTTCAGTGTAGGTCATCAATACATGCCAGAATGACACACTTCTTGTTATTATTCTCATTGAAAGCATGTCCTCGTATAAATAGCATCAGTGTGTCATCTGGGGCATGGGTTACCTGGGGAGTTCTAGACAGCCTCCAGGCCTTTGCTCATAGAGCTATTGATGATACAGGTTAAAAATAAAAGAAAACCACAGGTCACCTATGAACAGGAAGGACAGAAAAAAGTTTCTGAGGTGGCAAATTTCATGTGGTCTCAACTCTCTTCTTTGAATCCCATCTTCAGCATCCCAGCCTGCCATTAGCCAGTTATGTGCTGAGATGTTAGTTCCTTAAGGCAGATGGCAGAAGAGCAAAACAAAGTCTTGCCTCAAAGAGTATGCGGTTTATTCAGACAAGCGCAATACAAAGACAAGTGTTTTATCTAATGATCAGTGAGATCAACAGAGCAAAGTGTTTAGAAACGAGCTAAGAAGGGAAAGCTGAAGAAAAGAAGTTGGGCGATAGGAAGAAATTGGTGTGTTGTTATGCAAGTAGATATGAAAGAGCTGATATAGGTAACTTGGAGACAAGTTGGGAGCTTGTAAGCATAATGAGTCTGTAATATAGCAAGTCAATTAACAATGGAGAAAGAGCTTGTGGGGGAGGGAGAAGGAATTCCCGTTTCTCAGTCACACGACTTGTAAACACTGCCTCATACACTTGCCACATTACACACATGCTTCTGAAACTGCACGTTTCCCTGTCAGACTTGAAGACACTTGTCATAGAAAAAGAGATGCTAAAATGTGATTAGAAGGGGAGGTAGGTATTTTATCTTTTACTCATCTAATTAGTCTGCATATATTTGCTTTAATTTTGATGAGAAGTGGGTCACCAAAACCCTGGCATCCAATTTCTAGAGCTAGATTTTTAATTTGTGATACTTAACTATACTGGTAAGCTTACAATGCCCTATTTACTATGTGATTTTATTAAATCACATTCAAAAGCAGACATCTTATGTTTATCTGAAATATAGACACTGTGTTTTCTTTGGTTAGTCATCACATAAGTAAAGCTGCTCAATGGACCAAAATGGCAAGTCCTTCTCAAGAATTTTCCTTGTCTTTCAAGCCTGTGAATGAACTTAGCTCTAACTGTGAGAAGTTAGGCAGCTTGATCAAATAAAGCAATAGCTGGTAAAATTAAATATGTGCCTACTAGTTTTGTCATTGCTTCTTTTTTTTTTTCTGAGTATACATGGAAGCGGTTTTTTAAAAGGAAAAGAGATCTGTATAATAACCTCTCTCGACACACGCAATAGACCTACTTGGATTTCTCTGATAAACCCACAGACCTCTCCACACACACACGTGCATCAAACCCGTAAAAGGCAGAATGAATCTGCCTACCACATGGGAAAATCCCTGCACCCAAGTTGTCCTCATTTTGAGTTCTTTGCTATGTGGGAAAAGTGTAGACAGTGCTGTCTTGCAACCTACTCATTCTACCACCTCTTCACCTCCTCTGCTGGCAGTCTAGGCTCAAACCACACGCGAGTTATCACAGACAGTTTGTGAAGCAGTTAGTATATTTGGCAACAGAACTGAACCACAACAAATATTCCCCATTCTCATATTTCCCGAATTTAGCAATCAGACCTTTAGAGAAGAGAATTGCTCAGCGTCAGAGCTGTGATATAATCAGTGAGTACCAGCTATGTCTGGTACTCACTGTCTCATAGCTATGGTTGTACACCCTTTGTTACTTAAAGGTCAGCTCTTCTAAGTGCTTCTGAGGTTCACACACACAACTCCTCCAGTCCCACTGCTTTAGTCAGGGCTGCCATTTTACTGGTATTTTCATGTTGAAACTGTTGACACCCATAGCTCTGTTAGTGCCTAAGGTAAGCTTAATTGATAATTGTCTTACAGATTCATGCATGGCAACTGCAAGTTTTAGAGGAAAGAAGTGTAAATGAAAAATTATACTCAGAGAGCCCCCACTGCGCATAGTCTAAGTGGCACCCCGGCAGATCCTCCTGCATGTGCAGGAGTGCAACAGCCCACCAGGTTTCACAGGGTTCCTAGGACATGCAGTAAGCTTTGCTGTAATGGTTGATGGCACGTTCTTGGGGATTGCCTGCAAAGGAGAGAAGGAGAAGCAGGGAGGTATGAGAGTGCAATAGAGTGATTCACAATAGGGAGACAGATGAGCCCCACATCACCCTCTTCTGAGCAGACCCCAACACCTAGCTGTACTGTGGAACATTAGGTTTTATAAAAAAGTTTCTTAAAACTTTTTGCATAGTAAGGGAATAGTATGTTTCATCCTCAAATAGTAAATAACAATCTTCTACTCTTTGATTTAAACTCTGAACTAGCACCGTATAGCAAATAGTAAGAGGAAAGTTCTTAAAATTCAGCATGTGAGAGTAAGGACAAAACGCGTGTGACTAAATGATGGTCCACTTTTGTGCCAAAAATACACTTTTTCTTTTGAAAGGATGGATTGTGCAACTTTATTTAGAAGTCAGCAATAATGGAAAGTCACAGAAGTTGGAGACTCAACTACGTTATAAATAAAACAAACCAAACCAAAAAACCACAAACTACTGATGATGCTTTTAAGTTACAAACATTAAAATTATACCTTAATTTTGTATTATACACATAACGTAAAAGAACAGTATAAAATAAAAATGAAAAGGTCTATTTGCATCCACAATTTTTACACTTTTTTGGAGAAATAAGATTAATACAAATAAAAATTAGAAAATATATTTGGGTTTTATTTCTTATGCTTTTGTGATAGATGTGTGACAAAGGATAAGACTGTTCTGTCTTTTCATAATTTAAGTTCAATGACAAAACTGTGTGTAAGTAAATTTATGCACGTTAGAAGCCAATTTCGTATGACCATTTGTATGTTTAAAGCCACTATGGTATTAATGTATTTGTGCTAGGGAGAAATGTTTATAAGTAAAATAACATTTACATCAGTCCCTTCTTACCTGAATCCTTGTCTTTCTATCATTGTCTCTCCATTGACTTAGATGAGAGGAGGTCATTGGGATGAAAAAATCTGCCGTATTCATATGGCCAAAACCCTATAATAGAAAGTGCACTTCTGTTATTTGTGGTGCACTTTCTGATCTCCTTCAGTTCTCCCACCGGAGAGACCTGGGATTGCAGCTTCCTGCCCCTCTGCAAGGATCTTAACTACTTATCCTGCTTCTGCTGTAGAAGCTGGTATCTAGCCGACCTTGACCACCTCAGACATTTGGGTTCCTCTTTGTATGTATTCCTAACTATGAGGGTGTTTAAAACCTTTGATCTCCTACGAACACAGTTTCTTCATTCTAAAAAGAGACACCCACCAGGAAGCCTATAAAAAACAAACAAAAATGTTATAGCTGATATTATTCCTTTTGCTAACAGAAGGCTGGAATCTTACCAACCAGCTCCTGAAGAACTAACAGATGACCACCCACCAGACTACAGAGGATTTTTTATTGCATCCAGACTGGAATTAGCTCTGAGATACTACTTGGGGTGGACAATGAACAACACTTCTCAGTGCCTTGATGATCACACTCTGGATAAATATTTGTTTCCATTTGTATACAGCATTGTGATGATGATCAGTATTCCCATCAACTGCATATGCCTCTATGCATCTTGCATTCAGGTGAGGAAAAAGAATGAGTTAGCAGTCTACATCTTCAGCTTATCCCTGGCTGACCTTTTGTACTCTCTGATTCTGCCTCTGTGGATTGATTACGCCTGGAATGGAGATAACTGGAGGTTCTCTGCCTTGCTTTGTCAGATTTCTGCCTTCCTTATGTATATGAATTTCTACACCAGCACAGCGTTCCTTGCTTGCATCTCCATTGACAGGTACCTGGCATTAGTTTACCCTTTGAAGCTCCAGCACTTACGCACAAGAAGATTTTCGTTGCTTGTCAGCATATTTGTTTGGCTTCTGGAAAGCATCTTGAATTCAGTCATATTGATGAAAAAAGAGGTTTTCAATGATCCTTGCCATTTAACTCATCATACATTATGCTATGATAAATATCCCCTCGAGTGGTGGCAGTCACAGATAAATATATTCCGGATATGCTCAGGGTACCTTGTCCCTTTGATAATCATCATGTTTTGCTACCATAAAATCTACCAAGTAGTGAGGTATAATCAAGCCACAGTAGATGAAGAGAAGAAAAAAGTGAGGACACTTATTCTGAACATCACAGTTACTTTCATTGTTTGTTTCACTCCTTATCACATCACACTGTTTATTCGCAGCATCAGAGATCCTTACACCACTGACCCACAAATTTTGCAGTTGATGTATAAAGGGTACAGAATCACACAGGCCTTAACAAGTTTGAATTGCATTGCCGATCCCATTCTCTACTGCTTTGTGAGTGAAACTTCACGAACGGACATAAGGAATTTGCTCAGGTGGTGTTTGTGCCTACAAAAGCATGAGGGAAACCAAGTGAAAGACCATGCTCTGAACAGTTCTGCTGATCACCTACAACCTTCCTGTGAAACAGAGACTGTCAAAAATGCCTGAGCGAGCACATTCAAAGCAAAACTGGGTGACCTAAATGGGAATGAAAGAAAAATTCTTCCTCAGTCTGTACCTAGAAAATACCCCAAAAGTCACAGATAGCAATCTAAGTGAAACCAGTGGCTGGAGCTATTAAGAACTTATTACAGGGTCAATGAAATCGATGGAGCATCAAAACATATCTTTAGATCAGGCACATAAATCAATGTCAGTGAACAAACACGCAGTCAAGAAAGACGACCATGACACGCTGGCAAAATGACTGAGGATCCTCCACAGAACTGCCTCCTGTCACAGCTCGTCAGCGTGCCAGGCATACACATACTGAGCTGGAGGAAGGCTGAAGTCCTCTTAACCTAGTAACTTGGGTTTTGCAGTTTAATAGAAACCTTAGCTGGGAATGAGCACCAAAAGGGTTTTATTATTTTTTTTTTTAAAGTCAGTACTATGATAGAAGTGAATAAAGCCTGCACGCACATGGAAATCATTCAAGTCATCGACAAAGGAGCAGACAGAGAGAGGGTGGTAAAACTCTAATTTCATGGTATAATTTGTGCTGCTATAGTGGTTCCTGTGTTTCAGTAATGTTTCAAACTCTCCCTCAGCATACCCCTGAGATGAACAACTTCTTAAAATTGTTTACCTCATGTGGACCAGTACTTACCAGCTCTTAAGCTTTTCAGCTTTTGTTTTCTATGGAAAAATATATTCTAATGTATAACTGTATGTCATGCAGTTTCATTACAGTATCAATACTGGATTTCAAATAGTTGAAGATTCATTATTTCAAGTGCCTTTAGAGAATAAAATTTTAGCAACCAGTGGTTTAACTGGTGTTTTTAAAATTTTTTTCCTGATATATGCAGAGAAGAAAGAGGATGACTGAAAGGTGAGGTTTCTCACCTCGACAATGTAAATGGCCAGCTTTTAACCTTGCTTATTATGACTGAAATCTGGAGTGTGGTTGCATTTCCAGAGCCACTAGAGCAAGAAGGTTTATATTCATTTACTTGACTGCACCTAGATGCCTCAGCCAGAGGTTCCAGGGCTCTTAGTTTGCCAGTTTAAAAAAAAACAAACAACAAACCAGCAAAGAACACAAATGTACCAAAAAGAAATAAGAATGGCAGCAACAGAACCCACATTTTGAAAAGGTTGAAGTTAGCACAAACCAAAAGTACAGCTTTTAATTCAGGTACCTAATCCTGTGAGGCCCCTGCAACAGCTGCATGGTTCCCTTATAGCAGCAGGCACTTGATGTTCTGAAAAGAGTTAAAACACCATGGAAAGTGGTGTCTTTTCTCCTCTGACAACCTTTTTGCTTTTGTTCAGTTGCCAGGAAGAATGTTTGGTTGTGGTGGCTGCCCAGTTTCATAGGGAAAAAAATTCTTTCCATCAAAAAATCCCTGTCTAGCAAGTCTGTGTAATGGAAAAATTTTTGACCAGCACATTTTTAGCACATTTCTAGGTCGGACATTATGCAAAGAACAAGCATACAATGGTCACAAGCAATACGGAAATTTTTGTTAGAAAATCCCTCTGTGCGTAAATTACAAATTTCTCTATTACAAAGAGTCGCCTTCATTGTTTTTGTGAGTTCCTGTTTGTACCTATTTGTACTTCCAATTAATTTCACATTGGGAGAGGGGAACTTGGGAGACTGAGGAGGCTGAGCTTTTGTTTAGCCTGGAGAAGGGAAGACTTTGAGGAACCTAATGGCAGACTTGCAATACTTGCAAGGAAGATACTGAGAAGATGGACCCAAGCTCTTCACAAGAGTGCGTAGCAGGAAGACAAGAAATCACATGCATAACTTCAAGCAAGAAGGGCCAGAGCTGACATAAGGAAAAACTTATGAACTATGAGGACTGCCAAGCAGTGGAGCAGGTTTCACCAAGATGTTCTGCATGCTCCAATCCGACAGGTTTTCAAGACTCAACAAAGCCCTGGACAACCCTGTCTGGCCTCGTAGCTGGTCTGCCTTTGAGCAAAAGGTTGGACTAGAGACTTCTTGAGGTCTCTTACAATCAGAATTGTCCTGTGATCCTACGGACTGTGTATGTCACTCTTCTGGCTGTTGCCTTCCTCTATAAAAAAGTATGATCTCTTCCCTTCTTTGTTCCCATTTGCTGGATTTTTTTTTTTGTTTTGATGCAGTGGGGTTTTTTTCTGTAGTACTTCCTCATATACTATGAAGGAAAAAGTATGCAAGCAGAAGTGCAAGTTACTTCACAGCTTTGTTCCTGTGATGACCTATGTATTTTGCAACAAAATGTGAAATTTCACTGCAGCACTGGAATAAAAACAGAACTGAGCTTCACTGTAACTTCATGGAAAAAAGAACTTAGTGGTTCATTTCAAGACCTTTCACACGCCAGAAAGGTTGGAAAGTTAATTCTCTTGGGGCGTTTAATTTATTTCAAATAAAGAGTAATGAGCAACAAATCTGAGTCAAATTTAACTTTGTGGAGTAGTGAAAGCTTGCTGCTCTGCAAGGGACAGAGAGCCAGGAGCTGAGGGGAACAGCCAGGCAATCTGGGCAGCTTGCTCACCAAGAAGCCACGCAATCCCACAGCACCAGAGCAGGTCTGGTGATGGTAACCATCACTGGGCATCAGCTCTGCGATCACGAGACGAAGCCACGGTGATGAGGCAGGTCTGAGGTCAAGCCGGGAAGCCAAGTCAGGAAAGCAAGGTCAGGATCAGTAAGGTATGAGGCTAGGCACAGCCACACCATGTCAGCACTGGCTTCCACACAGGCAGACAAACACCAAGGAGGTAGGAGAAGAGGGCGAAAATTTGGGTGATTCAACCCTACAAATAGCTTAGTTTCCTCTAAGCCCAGCCCTGAAATTCTGTACTTTTAAATATTCCACCTCAGTGCTGATGAAAGCCATAGGTTGGACCAGCTTACATTGGTATGTGTGGATGGTTTTCATAGCATTATTTCCTATAGTACCTCACTGCATTGCTGAAGATCCACTTAAAAAAAAAAGAACAATTATGATGGCTGGCCTATAGGCTGTGCTTCATGAAAAAGCTCAGATAAGTTCAAGATCCTGTCACTTCATGGTAATAAAGTGTAGGTGCCTAACCACTTTTAGATGTAGAGATTACAACGCTCTGTATTTTAATCGCTTCTGCACCTACCTCATTATTCTTACATACCTAAAAAGTTACAGTTTCTTTCATTCTCTCTCCAAATTTGCTGGTCCCTACTGGACCAAATCTACCTATGTTCTTTTTAAAATTGCATTGTTGAGAGAGAGGAGAGGTACTTTTCACTGTGCAAAAATGACATAGTGAGAAGTAAATGTGTTCATCTGGATTTCAATCTATGCTGTGTATTATTTTTATTGAATATTCCACTTAGAATTCCTGATGACTCTGCAGGCAAAAAACAAGCACAAATTCACAGGAACTCTTCCTAAAGTAAGGACATTCCTTACAGAAAAGAATTTATAAAATCCAAATATCTGTTTAATGACAAGAAGAAATGCATCCATTCAAATTCAATTTTCCTCACAGACAATGCTTAGAAGCGTTAACATCTGGCCTCAGCAAGTCACTGTAGTTCCTGTCTCACTTCCTAATCTATACAATAAGTATATGAAGAATAAAAGGGCTGTGATGGTAATTTACTTAACATCCACAGATTATGAAATGTCAGTGCCAAATGATATTGTTGACAGCATAACAGCAGAGACGAATTTATATGTCAATAATTCACTTAAAGCAGAATTCGTCTGCTAAAAGTCCAGCAAAGATATAGCTCCACTTCATAAGTTGAGATTCTATGGTTCTGCGATTCATTATGTGGATCCTTATCCTTGTCTGATGTAGCTACACGTGGACTTTGCTTTGTTAATGTCAGTGAGGTCAGTCCTGACTCACATGGTCGTAGGCTAACAGAGACTCTTGCTTAGCCTGTTTTGTTTGGTTTTTTTTTTGTTTGTTTGTTTGGGCTTTTATTAAGTCTCTAGCATGTCTAACTTCAGAGCCACCAAGAAAGATGAAGGGAAGTGTGAATTTGAGTTAAAAGTTTAATGTATTCCACTTCCTGTTTCTATTCACAGAGACTGATGCTACAGAAACAATTCTGAATAGTCTAGTGGCAGTCTTCAGCAATCTCACTCTTAATTTGTTGCCAGTAAAGAGGGAGCACTGGGCCATAGTTTAGCCACATGCCACTTTCTGTACTCCTTACCAGTTTCATCAGTGTCATCATTGGTCTGATTCTCTGTTTTCTAATGGGATAAAGGAGCAAACTCTTCATTTGCTCCCCACCTCCACACAGCACAGAGAGAGAACATGGATGCAAATATCAGGGTGCTTGAGGCCCCAATGGCAGAAGGTCTGCTTATGCAGAGCAAGGCTGCAGGGAAGGAGAGCGAAGCGTGGCTCTGAGCTCTGCCAAAACCAGGGGCAGCTGCTGTGCCCACAGGCCAGCGCTGCCAATTGTCAGCATTTCCCTTCTGCGAGAGACAGCAGCTACTCGTGGTCCCAGAGCCCTGTGAGGTGGCAGGTTGCGCTTGCCCAGGGGCACCTGCTCAGTGCACCTGCAGGGTCCCCAACAACACTGATCAGAGGTGGCATCTGAGCAGTGATGCCCCAGCGCTGATAAGGGGAAAGAGAGCAGAACACCTCGTGCATATCGTAAAGGCTTTTCTTTTCTTGCTGCACCACAATGGCTGCGTTACTGGTAAATTGCTAGCCTAAGCTGACACAGGGAAGTTTTGGCTGCTCAGCTACAAATTAAAAGTAACTAAGCTATTTCACCTAAATCTTAGAATATCCGTGAAAGACACCAAGTCAGTTCTGGACTGGGTCTTTGGGGAAAAAAAAGCAAACAAAAAACCCCAATGAAACAAGCCAATAAAAATCAAACAGAAAGCAGTAAGGACTGTATGAAATGACACGTAAAAAGCCTTATCCAGGTGAATTACAAAGACACTACCCAAGACAGTCAGATCCTCATACGTGCCAACACAGAGAAAACTGTA